GTACCTATAGTACTATATATATATAGTATACTTCTTATAAGCCTTAATTTAAATCTATAAACCTATTATATAAAGGCCTTTTTTTTAGTATTTAGCCCTTATAGCTTTTAAAGGGAATATAAAAATAACTAATCTTACCTTTTATATTTAGCCTAAGGTACTTAGCTACCTAAGCTACCCTAAGATATTAATCCTATTAAAGGCTTTAGCTTTTATAGTAAAGATATTAAAATTAAGGCTTTTTAAAAGGTTAGGAATACTCTATACTACTAGCTTAGTTTAGCTACTAAGAAGGTCGGCTAATTTAATAAGTAGCTCCTTAAAGTATAAAGACTACTTCTCTTATTACTTTAAAAGCTTCTTTTATTACGAAAAAGATATAGCCGCCTATTAGATATAAGCGATAGCATTAATTAACGTATATAGAGTACGCGATATACCCCCTTAGGGATATTAGGTTAATTCGTCCCGGGATACCTAGATATCCTAGACCATAGCGGGAATTTTTTATATAGGCAGGCCCTATACTAAAACCGCGCTTAATTGCGCTAGCGGGACTCGAACTACGGGCCTTTTAAGTAGTACGCGCTAGGCTAGCTAGAAGTGCGTGCGTAGTTACCGGGAAGTTCCTAGAGGGGTAACCCCTCCGCCCGGGCTTATAACTATCACGAAAAAGATATTGTCGCGAAGCGTGGCCTGATTTCGCAGTTCTCGGAGATATCCCTTAGTAAGAGGGAGCAAGGAAGCTAAAAAACAGGTTTTAAGGAAGGAGCTAAAAGGAGGTGCAGAAAGGAGGGTAGGGGTAAGAGGGGAAGTAGAAGTAGCGATGGCTTCCTATAGAGGTAGCGAGAGATAAGACGGATATGCCGGCAACGGCTAGAAAAGAGGGGAAAAACCGGCAAAAAGCTCGGTAGTTAAAAGGACATTAGTGGCTTCTTTAAGCAGGATCTTCTTTGTTAATTAAGATGCTAGACGGGTATAAAGAGGGGCGTTGGATAGAGGAAAGAAGGACAATTAAGGCAATACAACAATCACTCCCCTACCTTTATTGCTGCCCCCGCAAGAATCAAATCCCTCTGCCCTGCCTGTCCGACCCCTTACTTCTAATTTCACCTTCGTGCATTTTCATGCACTTCTCGCATCTCTCTTCGCGAGAGATATAGCTACCTATTAGATATAAGCGACAGCGTTAATTAACGTATATAAAGTACGCGATATCTTTACTATATATAGGGCCTTTATTATTATAACTATATTACTTTTATTTAAAGTTAATAAAGCTAATATAGCTAGTTCCCTTATAGCCTTATTAAGCTTATTATAAAGAGTAATAGGGTTAATAGTTAGTATTAATAATCCTCCTTTTAACTTTAAGATAAGTTAAAAGTCCTTTTTTACGTTCCTCTTAGCTAAGGCCTTAGTTAGGGCCTTAGCTAGGGCTTTTACTAGAGCCTTAGCTAGGACCTTAGCTAGGGCCTTAAGCGCCTTCTTTATAGTAACCTTAGCTTATAAGCTCGCTTTAAGGTTTCCTTAGGTAGCCTTAAGCTACTAAGCGGCCTTAGGCTAGTATAAGGGCTATTATAAGGGCTATTAATAGTTTAGGGTCCTTATAGCTACCTTTTTAAGCCCTTTTATAAAGGTCTTATAAAAGGGTTCGATTTTTTAGGCTTTCTTAAGGGCCTAGAGGGCTTACTAAAAGAAGCCCTAAGCTTAGTCCCTAGGAAAGGGGTGCTAAGGCTAGGGCTAGTTTTATTATAAATATTAAAATATAGGTAATATAAGAGTAAGGCTAATAGGGCTACTAAGGGTAGCTCTCTTTTACCCTTTTACTTACTTTAAGGGCTAGTTAAGCTAAAAGTAGCTAGCTTAAGGTAGGGCTAAGCTAAGCTTAAAAAGGCTAGTCTTTAGTATAAGCTAGGTATTATTTTCTATCTTAATATCCTTTAGATCCTAGTCTTAGGTCCTAGGCCTTTCTTTTAAGGTCTTTAAAAGGTATTAGCCTTTTAAAGTTTCTTTTAAGTAGGCCCTAGCCTCTAAGGTACTTATTTCGACCCTTAAGTTAAGGGAGGGGGGGTAAGTTAAAGTTTAAGGGGCCCTCCTTAGGTCTAAGCTAGGGTCCTAAGTTAGGTCCGGGCTAAGTCTTAGTAATAAGAAGTATATACCCTTAGCTAGCGAGGGTAAGGAAGAGTTCTCTATCTATATATAAGAGAACCTTACTTAATTTATAATCTTTAATAGTATATTATATACCTACTAGTAGCTATATAAGGCTATACTTAAGAGGGCGTAATATACTTTTTATAACGGTTCTAGGTATATAACTTTTTTTATTTTAGGCTTAGTTTTAAAAGGTTAGCCGAGAAAATATAATAATATTAACGTTACTATATCTTTTACTATAGAGGTTAAGAGCCCTTATTATTATAGACTAATATAGGTCCTACTTATCTACTACTATAAGAAAATCCTATTTAATTCTTATATTATTAAGTATATTAACCCTAAGGTCTTATAAATCTATAATAATTTAGTTAAGCTATTCCGCTTAAGCATCTTAGTCTTATATATCTTATTTATTAATAAAGATCGTATATCTCTTATAAATTAGCTTTTTCTTTTCTACCTTTAAAGGTAAAGCTTACTTCTTTAAATTCCTAATTTTCTCTCTTAGGCTATTATATATTAAGGTTGCCCCTTAAAGCCTTTTAGTAATCGTTTTCTTAATTAATTCTTAAAGTATAATTAAAGCTCTCTACTAGACTATATAGCGATCGAATTATAGCTAGAACCTTTTCTTAAGGTTTTAAAAGGAGCCCTTTATATCCTAGTTTTATTTATTAAAGCTTATTCGCCTTATAAGGAATATAGCCTTAGTTTTATCTTTTTATTAAGAAGGTCTCCCTCTAAGATTAATAATAAATTGCTCTTAGTCTAGCTATTAAGGCTATTAAAGCTCCTTTATACTATCTAAGTTAGTATATTCTTAAATCTTATAAGTCTAGGCCTACGATTTAATCCTATTAATCTATAGGGTTTAATTAAAGCTTTCCCTTAGTCTTATAATATAATTATCCCCTCTTACCGCCTTTAAAGATATCTTAGGAAAAATAAGGGCTCTAGCTTAATAAGTAATATCCTTCTTAAAGAGATATATAATTTATATATTTCTAGTAGCGCCCCTTAGTATAGCTAGGTTCCTTGCTTTAATACTATAGTTTAAGCGTTATAAGAGCGTAAATAGCTCGTAAATAGCTTTAAAGGTAATATTAGTAGGTAAAAGATAATCTAGTTATATAGACCGGGCTTATATATCTTAAGTAGAGGCTTAAGAGTATAGTAAAAGAAATAAGTGTATAAAAAAGTAAATTTAGTAATATATATCTTAGTCTATTTATTAAGATAAGGGAGGGCTTATATAAGTATAGTAACTATATATAGCTAGCTAAAAGAGGATATTTAGATATTCCTATACCTAAGTTAAGCCTATATAATATCCTTAAGCTAAGGGAGTTATATTAGTTAAGTAACCTTCCTTATATATAACTATTAGGTTTACTAAGTATAACTATAGCCTCTTATTCTCGCGAAGAGAGATACGAGAAGTGCATATAAAATGCACGAAGGTGAAATTAAAAGTAAGGGGTCGGACAGGCAGGGCAGAGAGATTTGATTCTTACGGGAGCAGCAATTACGGCAGGGGAGTGATTATTGTATTGCCTTAATTCTTTCTTCTTTCCTCTATCCAACGCCCCTCTTTATACCCGTCTAGCATCTCGATTAACAAAGAAGATCCTGCTTAAAGAAGCTACTAATGTCCTTTCGACTACCGATCTTTTTGCCGGTTTTTCCCCTCTTTTCCAGCCGTTGCCGGCACACCCGTCTTATCTTTCGCCACCTCTATAAGAAGCTATCGCTACTTCTGCTTCCCCTTATGCCCCTACCCTCCTTTCTGCACCTCTTTTTAGCTCCTTCTTCCTTCTTCTATACCGGGTGTTTTTAGCTTCCTTGGTCCCTCGTGCCAAGGGATATCTCCGAGAACTACGAAATCAGGCCACGCTTCGCGACACTTATACTTACTCTCCTTAATACTTATATATTAAATCCTAGATACTACTAATAATACCCCTTATAACTTTATAGCCTATATCTATATTAAGTTAAATATATATTAAACCTTAGTATAAGACTTTAGTTTTATACTTAAACTTAAAAAATAGGTTTTATACTAACGTTCTTTCCTTACTTAGGTATAAGGAGTTATATAAGTACACCTCTTATAGATATTCTTAGAAGCTATTCTTAAAATTATTTCTTATAAAAAAGCTAAAAGTATAATAAAGTATATTAAGCTAGCTATACTAGCTTTTATATACTTTTATAAATAGCTTTTAAAGTCTTATAAGTATTTTTATTTATATATATATCTTAAGGGACTTTATTTTATTAATTATAATATAATATTAATAGCCTTTATTTATAAAGGTAAAGAAAGATAGGTTTTATTAATAATAAATCTTATTTAAATAAGTTCTTCTTTATTAGCCTCTTTATTAAGAGATAAAGGTATAACCTAGTATGGTCCTGAGGTTAGCGTTTGTGGCCCACCATACGGCTTGGTAGAGGATGCCGTAGGAATCGTGCGATACGGTTTGATAGAGGACGACTTCCGCGGCCCACCGTATGGCTTGGAATAGACCGCCTTGGATGTCGCGCTGTACGGTTTGATGGTGGACGACTTTTGCGGCCTATTATACCTTGTCGATGTGGAAAGAGGTGCTGTGCTGTACAGTGTGGTCGGGGGTGGTGGGGGTATCGCGCCATATGGTTTGGCAGTAGATGACTTCTGCGGCCCACGGTATCTACTTGACGTAGAATGAGACCCCGTGCCATATGGTCTGGCAGAAGATGACCTCTGCGGCATAACATACCCAGCTGATATAGAAGAAATAGGTATCGTGCCATACGGTTTGGCAGTAGATGACTTCTGCGGCCCACCGTATCTACTTGACGTAGAAGGAGACCCTGTGCCATATAGTCTGGCAGAAGATGACTTCTGCGGCACAACGTATCTGGTTGACGTAGAAGGAGACCCTGTGCCATATAGTCTGGCAGAAGATGACTTCTGCGGCACGCTGTATCTGGTTGACGTAGAAGGAGACTCTGTGCCATATAGTCTGGCAGAAGATGACTTCTGCGGCACAACGTATCTGGTTGACGTAGAAGGAGACCCTGTGCCATATAGTCTGGCAGAAGATGACTTCTGCGGCACAACGTATCTGGTTGACGTAGAAGGAGACCCTGTGCCATATAGTCTGGCAGAAGATGACTTCTGCGGCACGCTGTATCTGGTTGACGTAGAAGGAGACCCTGTGCCATACAATCTGGCAGTAGATGACTTCTGCGGCACACTGTACCTAGCCGATGTAGAAGAAATGGGCACCGTGCCATACGGTTTGGCAGTAGATGAATTCTGCCGGTAGCCGGTTGATGTAGAAAGGGGTGCTATGCTATACGGTGAGATTGAGGGTGTCGTGCGCATCACGCTATACGGCTTATGTAGCGATGATACCAGTGGCGGCGATGATGACGATGCAGGCGCGCCGCACTTGTTACGGCTTAATAGGGAACAGAGAAGGTTGCCGATGCCGTTGAGCAGACCAGGCACGAGACCATTCGCCACGTGGTCGGCCTGCTGCTCGGAGATGCTTCTTTTTCCTTCGTCTTTGCCTGCTATAGCTCCCCGTGTCGATTTACGAACTTTGCTGTGGCCGAGCCTCTCCCGTAGGCGATTGCTGGCGAGTCTCTTGAGTGACGCGACGGTGCTCTTGGTTTCAAATACTATGCCCTTCTTGACCTCCTCGTTCTGAGCCTGATTCATTCTCATCTTCGTGGCCATGCTGGCATGATTCTTGGCGTTTATCTGGGTCAAATTGTCTGCGCTACCAGCCTCCAGAACCGCGACCGTGCGCCGGTTCAGGGCCGAAAGCTCCGCCGGCACGGCGATGGCGCTGCCGGCGAGTGCGGCCAGAAGGGCGACGGAACAGCTAGCCTTCATTATTATACGTAAAGCTTTGGCTGACGAAGTCGGGGGTCAGAGGAGGTAAGAGAGGGAGGCCGTCAACGGGCCTAATATACTTGAACGGACTTGGGTCAACACTTTCTGCCAGGAGTGCTTCGATCGACCTCAGACGCTTGTCCAGGTTTGAAATCTCCTATGGAGCTGTGTCTTGCGGAGAGGAATCTGCTGGAACCGAGCAATAATGCGGCTTCCGTACTACGCCCTAGGTAAGTAGCACTCGACGTGCATGGCTGGGATTACGTGGGACGGAACTATAAGCATAGAATTCGAAGCAGCCGCATACTCGATGTTCGAGACTGCTCTGAGGCGGAGGAATGTTGACTTGTCTTGGACTATCTTGGTGCCTGGAGCCTGGGCAGGACGCTGACAGGTGTGAAAATATCGCTCAACATGGATCTTTGAAGGGCGTCAATCGTCCCCTCCTCCCTTAAACTAATAATACGTGAATGCAATGTTCCTACTGAAGCCCTGTCTGGGCTTTTCTGCTATGCTAGGCATCGCGGGCCTTTGTTCCCAGGAGACTACATACGCATGCACATTTGTGTTTCTAGTCGCAGGGCTAAAGCGGAGAGAGAAAAGATAGGCAAAGATTAACTCCGTATCAAAATTCTACCCTTCGGAGAGACCTTCAAGTGCGCCAAAATTTCCGCGATCGGGTAGTCAAGGGAGGGGGCAAAACAGCCCAGGGAATCTGTGAGACTTGAGCTGTTGGTTGGCCATTACGAGCACACATCTTGTCTCTTACTGGCTTGGAGGCTTTTAGCAGCATTCCAGTCCCCGCTCAGCCGCCTCCTTTTACTAGACAGGAGTTAGGCTGGGGAGGTTTTAGGACCTTTTCGGATCATGCTATTATGTACGATTCAGGGTATCATATGGGAATATATAGGCTAGTCGCCGAGACCAGGCCCAGGGACTACTCTTGCTGCCTCTTGCTTGGTTCCGTAGCATTCTTTACGGAAAGCTCCTGGGGGCGGCTGATACATGGGCGCCTGGGGCTTTTAGCAACTAACTTTACTCTGAAATTCATTTCCCTCTTAGTGCGTACGAGATGCGCTGCGCGATAAAACTCTCGCAAAGAGAGCTGTAGTAGGGAGTATATATAAAATGCAAAGGTAAGAAGTCGGTGGTATTTTACCGTATAGGGAGAAACTTTATTCAATTCTATAGAGGGCAAGAATTCTCGCGAAGAGAGATGCGAGAAGTGCATAAAAATGCACGAAGGTGAAATTAGAAGTAAGGGGTCAGATAGGCAGGGCAGAGAGATTTGATTCTTGCGTAGGCAGCAATTGCGGCAGGGGATTAATTGTTATATTGCCTTAATTGTCCTTCTTTCCTCTATCTAACGCCCCTCTTTATACCTATCTAGTATCTTAATTAATAAAGAAGATCTTGCTTAAAGAAGCTACTAATATCCTTTTAACTACCGAGCTTTTTGCTAGTTTTTCCCCTCTTTTCTAGCTATTGCCGGTATATCCGTCTTATCTTTCGCTACCTCTATAAGAAGCTATCGCTACTTCTACTTCCCCTTATACCCCTACCCTCCTTTCTATACCTCTTTTTAGCTCCTTCTTCCTTCTTCTATACCGGGTGTTTTTAGCTTCTTTAGTCCCTCGTACTAGGGATATCTCCGAGAACTGCGAATTAGCCACGCTTCGCGACACACCCCTTAGCTATAGCCTGCCCCTTAAGGGCATAGCTAATACGGCTTCGGGCTAGTAAGCGTATAGAGGAGGTTCCTAGCTCTATAATTCTCCCTTTACTTAAGGAAAGCAGGGGCCCTTTTAGGTCCCTAGGCTCTTTTAGACCTACTTAAGGAATAGGGGCTTAAAGAAGGGAAAGTCCTATAAGAAAGGGGGCCTTTATAGAAGGGAAAAACCTAATTAAATAGGGGGCCCTTTAAAGGGAAAAACCTCTTTCTTTTCTTTAGCTATAGACGTTACCTTCTTATATAGGCTATTAGCTCCTCTTATAGACTCTTAAGGCGGGCCTCTAAGGATAGCTTTTCTCGAACGTCTTCTAGCCTAATTTACTATAAAAAGATAGCTAGCTTCTACTTTAGTAGGGGCTTCGTAAGACCATCGGCTTTTATCGATACTATTAGAACCTAACGGACGGAAATAAGTCCCTTTTAGACCTCTTAGCGTAACTAATACTAGTAGATATCGATATACTATAGCTAGGTCGATAGCTTTACGTTTTCTATAAGAATTCGTATAGTCTATATATTATCGCATTCTATAGCTAACGGGGACGGAATTTATAGTTAAAAAGATATAAGTAGCCGGCTAAGGAAAATCGCTTCTTTTAACGCTTCTAAAAGAGCTAGTAGCTCTACCTCTATACTTAAAGTTATAATAGTAGCTTACTTCGAAGCTCTCTAAGAAATAGTTCCTCTAAAAAGGGATATAATATACCCTTATAAGCTCTTTCTATTTAAGGAATTATCTATAAAGGACGAATCGCTTAAATAAAGGAAGATTTCGGTAGCTAATTTCTTTCTTTCCTACCCTCCTAGGCGTAGACTATATAATCTCGTTAAATAGAGATAAAGGATAGCTCTATCTACTACTTCTTAATGCCTAGGGCTAGGATTCTAGTTATACCTAGCTAGCTAGGAGACCGTAAAAGAGATATCCGGTCTAGTAGAAATAGCTAAAAAAAGTAAGGAGCCTACCTTCTATTAATATTAGTATTTCTCTTGCTCCCTAGCTTAAAAGGACGGATTAGGCAAAAGCTCTTCGTTTAATATAGGCGTAGAGGGAAGCTTCTTATCGAGGGAATTAAGGAGGAATTTATAAGCGACCTTATCGATATAGGCGTCCTAGGTAAGCTAGATAGCCCGTTAGGACCTATTTTAAAGGATTCGTATCCCTAGGAACTACTTTAGCTTCCTTAGCCTAGTTATCTTATACCTTTATTATAGGCCTTATATAGCCTCCTTAGTATTTACTTCTTTCTTTTTTAGGTAGGCCTAGATAATATCGTTAACGTAGAAGAAGACTATAATTTTACCCTTTTATATTATACACGGTTCTTAAAGGACTTTCTTAAAGCCTAAGGCTTTAAGGGAACCTATTAAATGCTATTATTAAAGAAGGGGTAATCTTTATAGTCTATATAGAGCTTTCCTAAGCTATAGAACCTTTCCTAGCTATTAAAAGCCTAGTAGAAGGTATATATAGATAACTTCTTCTTCCTTAAGTAGGTAGTTAATAAAGGCGTTAACTATATCTATCTAATTAAGCTCGAGGTCGAATTCTGCTACTATAACTATAAGGGTTTAAAAAGATATCCCTACTAAGGTAGTTACCTTAGTAGGAAGATCCCCTTTTTCTTACTAGTTCCTATAGATAACTAGCCGGGCTTTATACTTTTAAAGGAAGCTATATTTATTAGTCTTATAGATAAAGACCTACTTATAGCTAAGGACCTATTTTCCTCTTACCTTTTCCTTAAGGACCTCTTCGAAAGACCCTATCTCTAAGCTATACTTAAATATAAGGTAGGTTTTATATATACTTAAGCGAGTAGAAGGGTATAAGGACTATATTTATATATATTATAGGAATCGCTATAAGGTCCTTTAAAGTTATCTCTTAGTATCTTATTAAGAGTACTACTTCCTATATAATAAATTCGTCTTTCCTTAGTCTTATTACCTTTAAAGTTTATTAATTAAATAGTCCTTAAGCTAGTTATATTATACTAATTATATTAGTTATAAACCTAACTTCTTTTAGTACTTATTAAACTTTAAGGTTCTTATAATCCGAATTTTTATAAGTAAGGTAAGTAAGCTTAATTAGTTTAACTTAGTATTCTTCGTCCTATTCTTTAACTTATACTAAAGCTACTATAAGGTTTCCTTATAAATATTTAAGGAGGAGTAAACTACTCTTTATATTATCTTTAGCTACTTTTATAACCGTTATTATAGCTCTATAAGGTCTTATATTACTCTTTACTTTCTCTAAGGTCTAGAATTTAGTATTTTCTATACCTTAAGCTATATTTATATATCTTATACTAAATCTCTTACTTAGTTAAGGAATAAAGCTAATTAGGTAATTTAAAGGGATTAAGATTCTTATATATATAATTTCTTTAATAATTTTATCTATAAGTCTATTAAACTTCTTATCTAGATCTACTCTATATCTATAGTATATAAGGATAATCTTTAAGCTAGTTTTTACTATTCTTATTATCTTAATTTCCTTTATATTCTTTTTAACTTTTTATCTTTCCTTTTATAAGTATTAATCCCTATTATAGTTATATAAATTATTTAATTATATATATTACTTTATTATATATTATCTATAATTATAATAACCGATATCTTTCTTAATTTTTCTTATATTACTTACTTTTAAATTCCTTAGCTTTTACTTATATAAGCTTTTATATTTCTAAAATTAGTCTAAGAAACTAGATTCTTTTTTACTAATAGCTTAATTTAAGTTAGATAATATAACTATACCTTTAACTTATTTTATAAGTAGTAATATAAAAAAGTCTAGCTATATATCTACTTAGTATATAATAAGCCTTTAAATATATATACCTATTTAAGAAAACTTATTAGTAAGTACTAAGGGAATTACGCTTTTATTATCTTTTCTTTTAAGGTAAAGAGTCTTATTTACTACTTTATATATTATAAATCCGATCTTATTATCGCGTATACTATATACGTTAATTAACGCTATCGCTTATATCTAATAAGCGGCTATATCTTTTTCGTAATAGTTATAAGCCCGGGAGGAATAGAATTCCTATACCTTCCGGCTGCTATAAAAGGCACCTTTCTTATATCCCTCGTAGCTTCCTTTTACCCCTTTTATTAGAAAAGCCGATTTTTACCCGACTTTTCTGCCCCCTCTCTTCCGCAACGATAACGAAAACCGTCTCCTCTACCGTCCCTACGGTCTATAGGACGATTCTTATAGAGCCCTAAGATTAGGATAAGTAGG